GGAACCATGTTGTGATGACTTCCTGAAAGTGATGCTTTTAGTCCAGGTCTGGGAGGAGATCCATCAGGAGACCATCCGCCACCTCATCAGCAGCATGCACAAGCGATGTAGGGAGGTCATGTAGACACGTGGAGGCAGCACAATTCTTAGCCTTATTTTGACTTGTTTTAAGGAAGTTACATCAAAGTTGGATCAGTACAGTGTGTTTTGCCACTTTCATTTTGTGTGTGACTCCAAATCCAGGCTTCCATTGGTTAATAAATTTGATTTCCATTGATGATTTTTGAGTGATTTTGTCAGCACATTCAACTTTGTACAGAACAAAGCATTCAATTCATTCTGAATGGATGTGTTATTTGAGTGTTCCCTTTATTTATTTATTTTTTTGCAGTGCATATGTCTTGCTCAGAACGATGCAAGTAGTTTTCAACTTTCCCAATTTGTATAGGTTTAGACTTCTAAGAAGGCTCTTATTGTTCCATATTTTCTTTTTCTAAATGTGCCTTTAATTTAATAAATGTGATTGTCTCCTTTTCTATTTAGAAGTAGAAATAAAGACCGTTTCCTCCAGAAGCCTTTTCATTGTTGAGAGTTTCAGGTTCACAGACAGCTGTTAGTGTTAAACTTTTCATATTGCTTTCTTCTTTGGTGGTTGTTTCTGACGTTTGTGATCGACTGTCTCCTCTGTTTTGGAGATGAAGTTCTTTTCAGTGACCTGTAGAAATCACAGGTTCCTCTGGACAAGACTCAGATTGTTCTTCTGGCAAAGAACAATCTTGCTTATTAGCATTTTCAGCGCAAGACTTAAAGGGCTATTCCTTCTCTGGCGTCTCCTGCAGTACGGAGATAGATTCTTTTTCACAAACCAGTGAAGTGTCTTGTGTTTCAGTTCTTTCTGCTGTAACCCTTAGATCAGCGGGGCAATATTTCTCCAACTAGATTTCAAATGGTATCTTTATCTTCTTGTTGCGCCTCATCCTGGTTGGCTGTTCTTTCCCTTGTCAATCCAGTGTCTCCTGAGATTTGGAGACAAAATCCTGTCCAGTGACCAGTGATGTTTCCTCGTTGCAAATCTACTTTTTTAAGGACTCTCCCCAATCAAATTGTTCTTCCAGCAAAGAACAATCTTCCTTGTTAACATTTTCAGCACAAGACTGAAAGACCTGTTCCCCTTCTGGTAGATCGATTGTCTTTTCACTGACCAGTTAATCATTTTGTTTTTCCACATTTTCAGCAGAATTCTTTAGCTCTGGTAGGAGCGTACAGCTCCTGAAGAACTGAAATGAAACATTCTTCTTCTTTCGCTTGGGAGGCTGCAACGCTCTTTCGACAATATGGTGGGATGCATCCTCTTCGAAATGTAGGCTGGTTGGTCTGCATTTTAACTTTTGCTTGCTTTAGGTTCTAAGATAAATCACTTCTCAAGAGAGTCAGTAAAGATTTCACTTTCAACTTGATGTCAATTTCTAAAAGAAATATACACCAAACAAAGTTGAAAACCTTACTGTGAACTGCAAACTAAATTCTTGAGAGGAATGTATCAACAACACCTGCTAAACGGTTGTGATGAAGGTAGATTAATGTGACGAGGTAATATGATCTCTGGTGATGCCAGTACTCCCAACACCTCATGGTTTTTAATGGCTTCCCGCATGAACACTCATATTCACACGTGATTCTAATAACGTTTCTTATTTAATGGAAACACCGCGATGGCAAAATTGTGTTTTCTCCACATTAGCTGAACATCAACATCGTTTTGTAATGGAAATACAAACACTGATGCTCCCTGAGAGCTGTCTATGATGAAACAAAAAAAAAAATATTTGAAACTTTTGCACATTCATAGCTCATTAACCATTTAAGCACGAGAGGAAAATGAAACGAAAAGCTAAAAAGCCCCGTAAGATTCTGAGAGTCTCAGCAGATACAGCTGATAAAAAAACAAAAACACCATAAACACACACACACACACCACACCACACACACACACACACACACACACACACACACACACACACACACACACACACACACAAACACACACACACACCCACACACACACACACACACACACACACACACACACACACACACACACACACACACGCACACACACACATTCTCTCTTTCCCCCCACTGCTGAGATCAGCAGGGATGGATTCCCTCCCAGCTGCTCTCTCTTCAGCACATGCTGCCTTTATTCAGTCCAGCAGCAGCAGCAGCAGCAGCAGCAGCAGCAGCAGCAGCAGCAGCAGCAGCAGCAGCAGCTGATGAAAACAAAAGGATCTGGTTCTGGGGATCACTTGACACCAGCTGCTACCCACCATGAAGGCAGCAGTGTTACTGTAAACATGCAGTAACACGCGTGTTCAGAGTCTAGTGAACAGAAAATACATCAGACTGCTCCCCGTAACTGTTGGTAAAAGTAAGATATGGGCAGAAACTGGTGACTCCAGTGAGGATCATCTCTGCTGCAGCTTTGTGAGCTATGGAGTTCCTTTGTTTTTTGTTGTTGTTGTTTTTTTTAAAAAAGAAAACCCCGTTAGCCCTTAAAATTTGTGTTATTCTTAAATCTGATTGCAGATTTGGTTAAATATAGTTAAGTAGCTATTTTATTGAAACCTCCTGACCGAGAAACGCACATCTATCTCTACCTCTGTGTCCTGTAATATTTATTACACAGGGAGATGAAAAACTTCTGATTATTAAACAGCAGACTGGTCACTGAACAGATAACTGTTCATATGAACAGGTAGCTGTTAATCTTTCTATAAGAAATGTTAGAAATGCTGCCATTTATGGGACCAGTGGCTCAAATGCAATAATTTATTTGTTTAATTCAAAGTTGTATTTTTCAGAAATTGTGAAATTAATGTCTTACAGTCAAAGATAAATGTAAGGCTTTTTACGTATTTTACTGAGCATGTTTGTATATGGTGCTAAATACAGTAGCTACTATAAATTGGACATCATTTAAGTCATGCTTATCTACTTCATCAGACCAAGATTCAATAGTTTTCGGAAATCTTTTTTCATTCTGTTTCCAGGTCACTAAAAACATCAGAAAAGTTTCTGCAGTGTTCATCAGGAGTTTCCTCTCATTGCACTAAAATCTGTCGCTGAGATTCTAAACACAAACAGATTCCAGAAACCTTTCGGTCTCTTACCTGTTGCCTGACCTCTGTCCTGCAGAGTCCTTCTCTGCTCTTCATCTTCATCCTCCTCGTCTACGACAAGCCGAGTCTCTGGCATCTTCTGGTATTGAAACAAACAAACAGAAAACAGATAAAACTAAATGAAACTGTTTCAGTGTGTGAGCAGCAAGCAGGTCCTCCATTAACTCAGTAACACATGTTCTCTATTCTGTACCCCTGGCTTGTCCCGGCCATAGCAGTGGGGTGAGTGAATGTGTGTGTGTGTGTGTGTGTGTGTGTGTGTGTGTGTGTGTGTGTGTGTGTGTGTGTGTGTGTGTGTGTGTGTGTGTGTGTGGGCAGGGAGCCCAGTCCACTGACCCTGGATGAGTGGGAATGCGCAAAGTCAGACGATGATTGGCCACACATCAGTTTAACCCTTTAAAGTCAGGCTTAGGGAAGGCTTCCTCTCTCACATTCAGACAAAAGACAAATATTATCAAGAAATGTATTGAAATAATATATTTTGTGTGGAAAATGATTTAGTGTCCTGATGTCAAATTAAATGATCATTTCACATGTCGGTGTAATGTTTCCAGTGAGCTCAATCATCCTTAATCCTTAATTAATCTTGCTTGTTTATTGAGCCGACATTATTCTGTGTTATAAATTAGAATAATTTGTGTTTTGTGAAACAGAATCAACTGTGACAGCGTACTACTAGGGCCATTGTAGACATAAAAACATAGGAGTAACTTTCGGCAAAAAAAACTAAATTCTATAGAAAAAACAAACAAAACAAGGCAATTTTGAGCTTGAAAATTGAAAGCTTGCTAGAAAAACTCAGAAATTACTAGAAAAAACAAAACATGGGACATTTGTGAGGTTCAAAAATCAAAAGATTTTGACTTTTGAGACAAAAAAAAAAGATAGGAGATGTAACGGTCAAGTATGGTGAACTACCTGAACTAATAGCTGATGCTAACTTCTGTTAGCTGGCCTTCCAAACCACTGTGAAAGGGGTTCTGTACTTTCTTTTGATTAATAAAACATTGGAAAATTTTACTAGCAGGGTTTAAAACACCATTCCTCATCACAAGAGTAATTATTTGCGTAAGAAGACAAATTCATTCAAGTGATCTTACAATTAGTTGGAGTTAAGTAAAGTTTAGCATATTTAGAAAAATGTTTCAGACTTAAATGACCTTTAATTGTTAGCATATATCTACCACTGGAGGTCGCTGCAGACTCGCTTTTGACCATCTTACTCGCACTTCTTTCACTAAAATCGAATCCAGTTCATCACAAACTTTCTGGTGAGACTCCAGTCTGGTTAAATGTTTGAAGCTTCTGACTATTTGTTGAACAACAAATTCTACAAACATGAGCAAGATTACTTAAAAGGGACAATTAAATATTATGTTTCAGATCTGTTTTTAATAACGCCACCTTTCTTTTTTTTTTTTTTTTTTTTTTGCCAAAAGTGATCTTGGAGAGAAAAAAAACACTCCCTCCTTTTTATTACCAAAAGACAATTTTGGCAAAAATAAACATAAATACAATTCTGGCAAGAAATGACCTCCACTGTCATTTTAGGAAGGTGAGGATATGATTCATTATTAAAGTTCTCAGACAGCATCAAAAGTTTTCTGTGTTACGCTCCAATATTTTCTTGCATCATGTTTGCATTGAAGTATAAAATGAGTGAAATGTCTCCAGATAACCAGCTGTAGCGTGGACCCAATGGGTTCGGTCGGTGTCGTGAGAGCGCTTGTGAAACCAGAAGGTGGAACTGGGTCTGCTGGGTCTGCTGGGTGGGCGGAGCCTCCGCGTGGAGGCTCCACTGCGGGGTTCCACCTCCGGCGCGCGCTGAGGAGCTTCCCTGTGTGTTGGTTGCTGTTAGTGGAGTGGCCCCCGCGTGCGGCGGGACGTGGAATAAAACACGGATATTCAATCTCCAGAAGACGCGCTGAGAGGGTTTCTGAACACGGGTCGACGCCGTTCACAGCGTCTGACGACGGTAAGAAAGGAGCAAACTCTCCTCCTCCTCCTCACGCAGTTTAACTCGTACGCTGACTTCAGACCTGACGGACACACCTGTTCTAGTTTTCTCGGGACGGTTGCGGACTCTGTGACTGACGGTGTGGGTTGGGTGGAGAGGTGGCCGCTGCTGGTGTTGCGTTGGGCTTATTGTTTGGGGAATATCCAGCATACTGGATACTAACGCGCGCGCACACAAAACCCCCCGACTTGTGTTACATGTTTAGAAAGTTACAGAAGTGAAAACCTCTGGTTCCTGTTTGGCTCCTGGTTGGAAACATGGAGACTTATCAGGGTCAGGCAGATGGAGTTACAGTCACTTTGGCAGCCACGCGCAGCCAATAAACCGAGCAGTCCCTGCGTCACGCCAGAGCGCAGCCGTGTTGTGCATTTGTGTAATCCACAAGAAAACATCACATCCAAGATTATGGCAAAGAGATGAGGAGCAGCTTGATGTTAGGAGGAGCTCAGGGAGACACGGTGCTGCAGGTGTTGGGTTACCTGCAGACGTCATCAATCTTTAATGGCTGGCCGTGGAGCCATTGCTGTGTGTGTGTGTGTGTGTGTGGGTGGGTGGGTGTGCGTGTGTGTGGGTGTGTGTGTTTGTATATGTGTGTGTGTTTTCGGCAGTGGATGCATTATCACTGTTGTTGTTCAGGTTTCTTGTTTATCTACAGGGTCTGACTACGTGTGTGTTTGTATTTCTGTAGTTTGATACAGAAAATTTCTAATCCCTAAAATTATTATTTATAATTTAAAGTGCACTTTATTATTTTAAAATGTTTTTGATATAATTAGCCAGGTACTTAAAGATGTTGCATGTAACATTTCTAAATATATAGATATAGTTCACATGGAGCTCTGGAAAAAATTAAGAGACCACTTAAAAGGATCAGTTTGTCTGATTTTATTCTTTGTAGATAATTGTTGTTAAAACGTTTAAAAAGAGAGACATCCGTCTGATTATTTTGTGCTTTTGAGCCCAAAAGTGGGGCAGGCTTTTTTTTTGAGGGAAAGAAACGACAACACATTAATTCCGTCTCTGAGACAAAATGTTTTTCTTTTCGACACTAAAAGAAACAATAGCAACAGTCTGTCTGATCCAAGTCCTTTTAGATGAATAAGTCTTGTTTGTGTGTATGTATATAAGATTACGTCTTTGAACTCATGTCAGATATGAGTTTATGTAGCTTCGTCGCTCATTTTGTTCCAGCAGGTCCTGTGTCTGTTTTTTGTTCAAAGAGAAGCACTGCTGTGATTTTACCTAACATTTTCACACGGAGAATCATTTCTGCTGCACTGTGAAAAGCATTCAGTGTATTAGAATATTAATAAAAAGTTCATTCATTTTAATAACTCAGTGAAAGACATTATGTAGATTAATTCCACATAGCGAATTATGATCATCTTCTGCTTCCAGCTGAAGAAAACATGACATTTAAGATTAAAATATTACATAAAACATTAGAACAATCATTTTAATACAGGAATGTGGGTTTAATGACATGCATGTTTAATACTTGGTTGATAGTTGTTCATTTTTAAGGTTATTTTAATCTGATTGGATTATTGAGTACGACTGTCTGTCTGGTCATCCTTTATTACACTGACACGTTTATCTTTACCTTTATTAGAAAACATGTGCAGTTTTCATAGTCCAAGGTCAAGACTTGATGGCTTAATTAGTGACTAAATTATCAGCGAGAATATGAACGTTGGAGAGTGAATTTGTTTGCAGTCCTGCTGGTTACAGGAAATCAGCTGTGGTGGGATCAGAGGGGGGTTCCCTGTTTGCTGCTTGTTGTCGGTAGCGACCGTCTGGACGATCAGCAAGCCGATCAGGAGACTCTGTCGGGAGCGATCACTCGTTTTACGCTTCCCTCTGAGTTTTGACGGTCTCTGGTGAGCGAGAGCCCAGAACGTTTCCTCATGAAAGCGAAGCTGTCAGCCACACTTCACAGGCTTCTCATGACATACAGTTACCATGGAGATAATTCACTTATCATCTAAATAACCAAGTAGATTTTGGATCATGGTTATACCAACAAGAAGTAAAAATCTCCTTGTTGCTGCACGTCCCAAATGTCAAACTCGATCAACAACAAAAAAAAACAAAAAAACATTTGGTTTCTACAAACATTAACATGAGACATCTGTGCGCGCACACACACACACACACACACACACACACACACACACACACACACACACACACACACACACACACACACACACACACACACACACACACACACACACACACACACACACACACACACACACACACGCCATGGCTGTCACAATAACTCATTTTGTTGGACAATAAACTGCCTCCAGAAGTTATTGCACTAAATCATAGTATTGTCAGGGTAAGACCATTTTGAACTAATATAATCATGCCGTATGATCTCAAAGATCAAAAATGTTTTCACAATAAACAATAATATTGTTGTACTGAGACCTTTTTCAAGTAATAATAGCATAGCAATCAATGCCAATAATGCAAATATCAAAGAACTTTAAATTCTTATGAACATTTAACACTGGAACTTGAAGAAATAAAAACATATAAATAAATAAACATAACCACTGATGAGATGAATTTTGAAGCGTCTGTAAACAAAATTTTAAAAAGGGCTCGTGAGCAAAGCACCAGAATAAAGACTTTTGTCTTCCAGTTTTTGGTAGAAAGAGGGAGAAAAGAAAAACGACAAATAATGCAAATGAAAATTATTGAGTTGCTTCAAATTGACTATGCGATTAACTGATTTACTGCTTATTGAGGCAGGAACATGTTAACTTTACTCTGCAGCATCTTTTCTGTTTAACTTGTACCAACACAATATAGGAACACTTCAGTTGAGAAATCTCCATCCCAGACTGATGTCTGCTGTTCACAGTTGGTCTGTCTGCCTCCTGTCGTCCGGTTCAGACAATGCAAACTTGATCAAATTGGAGGAATGAAAGGAATGTGTAGCAGATCAATCATCATGTTATTTTTAGGAATGGAAGTTCACATAATGAAGCTCTATTTGTCTGGTAAAAACTCCTCACACAAATTTGATTCAGTGTTCTCCTTCTGGTCACAAGTTAGGAGCTGGAAATTATCTGCTTCAGTTTGCCTGTTTTGTGTTGCTGTTTTATGAATGAGTCAAAAAAAAAAAAGCCTGGAAGTGCAGTTTTATTTTAACTTGAAAATATTTACATAATTTTTTTTATACAACCAGCAACTTAAAACTGTTGTGTATATACACAACAGTTTTATATATATATATATATATATATATATATATATATATATATATATATATATATATATATATATATATATATATATATATATAACTGTTGTTTGATATATATATATATATATATATATATATATATATATATATATATATATATATATATATATATATATATATATATATATATATATATATATATATATATATGATCAAATTTGTCAGTGTGTGTGAAGCCCTGAAACAGGCCTAGCTTTGTCCCATGTTTGGGATTAGCTCGAACTTTATCACCCACTTTACCAACACTGACCCAGGTGGGCTTTAGAAGCCGGATTTTGGCTGAATCTCAGGAGTTCAGGCTGAACTCCATTAATTCCTTCGGATTTACGGATCAGAATGGCTGGCACGCCTCTGTTCAGCAAATGCTTCTGATGAAGGTCAGGTTCAGGATCAACAAGTCAAAGCTCACATGATCGCAGGTCCTCTCAGACTGATTCTGAAGGGTCACTAAAGAGGCACTATTTTGTAAAATCCTCTTTCCTGAGGTTTAAATAATGTTACATTGTTATCATCAAAAAATGCTGTCTTGATTCTTGAGTGCATGTTTGTGACATCCTTTAATTTCCCATGGCAACCATTTGGCTGTGCAAAACACCTTGGTGAACCTAGCTCCGCCTTCAGATGAAGCTCCTCCTCCGAGCTGCAGCTTCCAAACTACCTACTGCTTCTTTCACGATTTAAGTTTCAGTTTAGTTCTTGTGTTATCATTTCAATAACATATATTTTATACATTTATTCTCGTCACATATTTAGTTTGAAATCCAAATATTAGTTGTATATCTGACCTCTGCTGCAGGAGCAGAGAGAGGATAAATTTATGTGTAAAATCCTGTTTGTTTTTGACCAGATGTAAGAAGAAAGTTCTGAACAACTGGAGGAGTGTAGTAAGTGATTTTTCTAGGTTTGGTTCAGTTGTGGATGATGGCTCTGTTTGTGGTTCTGGAGTCTGAAAGTCTTATGGACATCTCTGTAACATTTTACAGATTGAATTAGTTATCTTTTTTTCTTTAGCAAATGAAACTCAAGTTTGTATTTATTCAAGTTATATTTGTCTGATATTTATTTGATAAATCAAAACATTTAGGAATACTTTTATTCTGTACTATAATCTTTAAAAAGCTGTGATGTTTGGTTGGTTCTTCTTATTGCTTTCATCGCCCAGATAAAGAGAGTTATGCTTGATATTCTCCGCTTCCCACATGCAAACAGGGCTGCTTTATCAGCTGGAGAGGCAATGCAAACGAGACACAAAGGAAGCAGCAGGAGCAAAGATTGGATATACCTGCATACAAAAACACACCTTATCTCTGACAGTGGGTCATTGTATCGTACCGTGACAGACTGCAGTCTCGCCAAGGCAACATGAATGTGCAGTGGGAATGATGTCAGCGGCCAGCACTGTGGCGGTTTGACTCCAGACGCTCAGAGAATGGAGCTGTTGTTCAAAATGAGGCGTGATGTCAATGAAGCGCTTCTGTATGACGGCGTATTCGGAACAAATGTGGAGAGAAAGAAAGAAAGGAGCAAATTTCAGCAGAAAAACTCTGATCTCAGAAGTTTTCTAAAAAAAAACCAAAAAACCCTGCAAATTTCTGAGTTTCAATAGTGAAAGAATTTTGTTGGCCGCCTCACTCACCTTTTCAGATCTTCTCCACAGGACTCAGATCAGTGTTTG